TTTGTTACACTTTGGGAACTCTCCACCATAAATCATCACACTGGAGCGTCTTGATCTTTATATGTAAACTTGTTATGAAAATTTGCAATGCCAGTCTTATTTATCTACTGTTGTGGCTGGTTGTTGTTAAAATGAAACCCTGACTTAACTCTTTGTTCCTAGCTTCTGGTTTTTTTGTCACTTTTGTTGGTCACACTGGCGTTTCAGTTTATAATTCGTACCAGAGCCCTCTCAGCTGAATGTCTGTTTCTGTCTCAGCTTAAGGCAACTTAAAGGAAAAGATGACTACACTTGTCAAATCATGACTAAATGAAGGCGAAACTTCCTCTGACTACTGTGTCCTTTTCTTATCAACGGGGCTAATCAAGAGCAAGAGTAGCACCCTCCGTCAAAATAACAACAACAAAAAACTTTAACAGACAAGTGGAAAGGATTGATTTGTTGAAAATGAAAAAACTTCCAAAGTGAAAATGAATATTGCTCTGACTGAGAGTTTACAGCGTTACTCTCAGACCGTGTAAGCACACTGTGTGCGGTGTGACAATTCCCACTTGACTACTTCAGTATCTCGCAGTGACAAAATTATTTATCATGAACAAAAAAAAGACAATCATTTTGTAACCCTTGATCTCCCATCACAACGTCTGTGTCTCTGCTGAAAAGAGGAAAAGCAGGGGGCTCCTGCTGACACTTAACATTCCACATAAGATGCCAAAAAGACACACATGAATGCACCTGACCTCACACCCACATGTGCACAAAATCAGGCCAACAGCGCAAACAGTCTCTGAACAAACACTGTAGGTAAGGCTGAAGGAAAGCCCACAAGTGTAGTGAGAGGTCCACGCACACATACACACAAACAAATATAGACACATTAACATATGCATTCACATGAAAATGAACGAGATCCCAGTTTTTAATGCAATCCTTCACCAAAGTCCTCTCACTTTCGCCAAGAAAATAATTCTGCAGGATTCCGGCATCATTAGCGTGTCAGACATCTGAGAGGATTACTATAATGAAATAAAACCGTCTCCTCTTAATTTCATATTACAAGGACCACGCTTTTCAAGGAGTAATAAAGAAATACAAAATATGTTCTGCATTTAACCCTGCAGGTGTTTCCTCCTATTTCCCTGAAATCTGAAACAGCTGTTCAACATGAAACAGGTTTTTATAGAATGAGAATCTGAAATGTAACGACATACATGCAGTTCAACAAGTTGCTTTGCCCGACAGAAGTGTCCATGTCTTTGCATCAGTGTAGCAGACAGCCGCCTAAAACAATTTTCTGCACCTTCAACCTCAAACACTGAATAAAAGCCTTTCTGACACGGCTGCAAGCGACAGATTTTCCATCCATGTTGCTGCATACATTAATCAGATAAGATCAACCCGAAAAAATATGCCATTTTAAAATGTTGCAGACGACAGAAAATGTGAAAACACAACATCTCTGCGGTTATTTGCAGCTTTGTGTTGTATAATCAAACAGGTAAACCAATAAGTCGTCTTTTTTCACAGCCAGCGTGCACAATAGCAACACGCTCGAACCAAAGCTGCTAAATGGAAGTCAGCCATCAACATTTTTTTTTTTTTTCTATTTACACCTCTGCTTTTCCTACTGTGACATGTCTAAAAGCCTTACATGAAAACAGCCTGTTGTGGTTTTCTATTAAAAGAACTAATATATTCTAAGGAAGTGACAATTTCAAAGCAGCAAGAACACATTCGACCCCAATTCCTGTGATACAAATAGATGCTCACAGATACAGACACACAGACACTGTTCACACAACGATACTCATGTACGAAGCTTCCTAAGCTTATGAGCTTTTATTTTGTTTGATTCATGCATCACACAAACGCACAGAAACAGTCTCGGCTGCAGTTTAATCTCATTTTGCGCTGCACCGACGACTAAAAAACACACACAAACACACACTGCCCGGCTCTCGTACTGGACAGAGTTGTGCCTCCTCTTAGCCATCCAGAGAACCACTAACCAGCTGATCACAGCTTCAGCTTCACAGAAATCCAATTCCCTCCAAAGGTCATTTGTCCAGTCAAAGAGTTTCCTTTTTTCCCCCGTGCTCTCTATTTCTCTCTCATTTACTCTGGTCATTTGTTACTTCTTGAAATGCATCCCCTTTGCCCTCTTCATTTTCCCTCCTCTGCCTCTTTGTTATTATTTTTATGTATTATTATCATTATGCTTTCTGGTTTGAACCCAATCTGGCCCTGTGCGCGCAACCTTCCTCTCATCACACTGCCTGGTTCACAGCCAGCTAAAAAGGCTCTTGGTTGTGAATGGCAACACAGGGCAGAAAGAAAACCGACCAGGCATGTGGATCAATGAGGAAACGGGCCGAGCAGGGCAGAGCTGTGCTGCATGGCTCTGCTGGGTTTAAAAAGGCAGATATGGGCAGAGCTAGAAAGAGCTTGGCTGTATTTCTTGGCATGCCCGAAGAGGTTGTAAGAATTGATTAGTAATGACGTGAGCTGTTCAAGGGCAGAGGGAAACAAATTAAATGTGAGCTGACAGCGCTAATGTGATTATTAAAAGGGATTTTTCTTGTTTGTATGAGTATGTTGACTATTCTGTATAATAATTACAACACTAATAACAATAATATATTCATACATTTCTGTTCTAGATAAACTGATTTACTCCAGCACATAAATATTTGGGAGATAAAGTCGTGCAACTTTCAGTTATACAAATCCATCTGTCTCTGCACTTTTAAAACAGAAAACATCCAAGATTACTTTTGTAATGGATTCAACAAGCGTTGTCTTAAAGAAAAGTCTGACATTTTTTACTTCTGTCTGAAGAGCTTCCTTTTCAATGCATCTCTAAAGTAAGTGATTGAACTATTTAAATTTAGCTGGAATTAATTTGAGGCTTAAAAAGTCAAAGTTAGCTCAATTTTTTTGAGCAGCTTCAATAACTATTAGCCTAAAAACTGCCTGTTTACTTCCTCGATCAGTGTTTTCCTGCCGTGCTGCTGTGGATGAGAGAAAACAAAATATAGGAACTTGGTACTAAAACTCTATGACTTTGAAAGATTAACGTTGTGTTTGTCTCATAAATGCTCCCAAGGCCTCATATTTATTTCAAGTGTGCTTAAACTTCACTTGTGTACAAAAAAAAGCTCTGTTTACAATCAGTGATGTTTTTCCTAGAAACATTACAGTCGGATTATATGTTCTTTTAATGAAATGAGAAAACGTTGATTAACATGTTGCAAATACAATATTTTCCCACTAAAATATCTGATCTTTCACTATCAAGTAATAGTGATTTTAGCACTTATCAATTCTGTATACTTATGTATAGGCACTTAGAACACTAGACTAGGGTGAAGGAAAGCTCTTGGTCGGGTTTAATGAAGAAGTGGTCCACGATCATACGAAATACAACATCAAGCCAAAAAAAAAATTTAAAAAACAATCTTTCCACTCTCTGGTGTCAGACTTGCAGCTGATCAATGTGGTAGGTTATCAATTCACAAAAATATCACGACTCTGAATGTGATTCTGCAAGAAACTACGCTTTGGCTAAATGTAACTGGAAACAAGATTTAGCTGTATATAAATGTCATTTCTAGGAGTCAGGTTTGCCAGCTTGCATTCTTTCTCTTTACTTCCATTGTCGGTGCATTGATACAATCTGTTGTGCATTAACAACGTGCAAAAACCTCTCTCTGTAATGCCAGTACAGAACAGAACTACTTGTGACCAATATGAACCAAGAAATGACTGCAGCGAACACACACCTGAGCAGGTAAGTAAGATTTTAACTAAAACAGACTTTAAAACATGTCAGCGTATCCCTTTAAAGTCAAGTGTGGAAGCGCACTCAACAAATCGATGATCGGTGCCAACTGATCTGTTGTCTGTAACCAACTACGCTTTTACAACAACCGTTCCTAGAAATTGCCAACAGGCCCTGAAATGACAGGCCAGAGCGAGCAGCAACGGCAGCGAATTGCCGCTGGCTGGTGTCAAGCTAAGTGGGCATGTCAGGCCTGTGCTGTCCTGGCTGCTTGCCTGCTCTCTCAGCTGCTCGCTCAGTCCCCAGTGTCCTCAACCCTAAACGGATCCAGTTGCTGCTGCTCAGCTCCAGTGGTGGGCTGATCTGGCTGACTAATGAACACTTCTCCTAATGAAGGGAAACTCCTCCACCTACCCCCCCCCCCCTCCACAATCTCATCATTCCCTGCACATACCCTTATGTGCATATTTCCACATATTTACTTGCCTTTTTTTTCCCCACTGCCCTCAGGCATATCTTTCACTCTTGTCCCTTCAAACCTCTTCCTCAAGCACTGGTCTCCATCCTTCTGCAGCCTCTCTTCTCAGTTCCTGTGCACAGTCTTCACACTGTCTACATCTCACTTCTCTCTCTCTCTCTCTCTCTCTCTCTCTTACTGACAGCCATTCACCAACTGTTTGCCATCTCCTTGCCTTTTTTCTCTATTCATCATCAGCTCTATTAAAAGCATTTACAATTCAGGCTCTTTGAGCAACTGTTGTGCAACCAAAATATTTTATGGTGGCAGTTTAAATGTGAATGCTGTTGTAGTGTCAGTTATTTATCTGCAAAAAAATGTTCCTGTAAAACGCTGAAAGCTCAGTGTGTTTCTTTAATAATCCCTCCCCCCCTTCACATGAGTAAACCAAAAGGGGCAGAGGACAGTGGGATGAAAACATGACTCAGGTGTTTCTCATGACGGGCCTCGTGTTGGAACCAGTTTAGAGGACAACAGGAAGAGCAGCGATGTAAATCATAAGGCTGACCCCGTAACAAACTCAGAGATTTGGGGGACAACCAGAAAAAAAAAAAAAAGCCAAAATAGGTTGCTCCTGTTCTTTGCATTATCTCCTCCCTTGTGTCATTCTTCCACAGACAACTTTAGAGTGAGTTCAGCAAACACCACAGCATCCAGACACACATGAGCAGAGCACAGGTAACGCAGGTTTTGTCCACTCACCAGGCCGTCACAGTTGCTGATGGCCACAGTGGCTCCTGGTGTGTCTGTGATGTCACCCACATACAAGCACTCATCATGCAAAGGCTCAGAGTGCCGGGTGCTGTCGCTGTCATCGTGCCACTCTATCTTGGCTCCGGGGGCCACCAGCCTGGCGTTGTGGCGCAGGCGCAGGTGGAACTCCCGGCCGAAGACGGTGACGTTGTAGTAAAGCCTTTCCTGATGGGCCACAGGCTCTTGGTTCTCCTCAGCTCCTCTTGGTCCTTCCCACTCATCATTGCCTACTCCTACCTCCCTCCTCCGGCGCCTACGGGGCTGCCCTCCTGCCATGCGACCGGCCGAGACGGCGTGTGACAGGAAGCGGCCCTCTGCGTCCACACTGATCGGCCTAACCAGTCCATACTCCCCCAGGACGTGCTGCAGGGAGTCTGGGAACAGGACAGTTGGGGATGGAGGGGGAGGGGGTGATAGGTAAAAGGAGAAGATGAGGCATGGGGAGGTGAGCGAGGAGGAAAGAATGTTATTCAGTGAGTAAGATGTGCAGATGTGGAAAACAGCAGAGGTGGAAGGTAAAAAAAATTTGAATAATTTTAAAAAGACATAGTATGGGGGGTGGAGACGTCATGAGAGAAGAATGGGGATGAATGGTGGAGAAAATGGGGAGTCATGGGCAGAGGGTGAATAGGAGGATGGAAAAAAAGAGATGGGGGAAAAAAATACAGGATTAGAAAAATGTCAAGCCTGCCATGGAATTATTTATTCTTTATTCCAAGCAAAGAGAACACAATTTTAAGAAGAAACTGGAAATGAAAAGAATGAAAGCAGCAACATTTCACTCACACACACACACACACCACACACACACCACACACAGCCCCACCCATGAACCCGGAGGCGACCCCGGTGCTCGGCACTGTGCGTTTGGAAACGGCAGCCTCAGCAGTGCGCGCTGTGCTCCTGACACCTTCTGTGCCCTTCCACCGCCAACTGGGAAGCCAGTACAAGATCAAGGTGCTAATTGTGGCTTTCTCACGCTGTTTCATCATTGTCAAGCTGCTGGAGCCGAGAAAAACGATTTCTGTACCTTCGACACCGACTGAATATTTAAAAAAAAAAAAAAAAAAAGCAGATCCAATAAGTCAGATTTGTCCTCATAAAGCGCTTCTAAATAATGCTGGATTGCATTTTTGCAATAATTTATGCAATCATCCTTATTCATGATCATGTCTGTGTCTTAACTGCTTTCAATAAAACATAAACGTTTTGAATGCTTGTCAGATATTCTCTGGCTAAGACAGATTTCTCTCGTTCACATGTGACAGTGACAATCCAAGTGCACTTTGGAGGCGACCTGAGTGATGCTCCCAGCGCCCACACACACTAACACACAGCCAGCTACACACTCACAAACACACTGAGCCAAGGCCACTTCATGGTGTCAATGCCATCACACAGCCAGACAGCTCTACTGTCACCTTGTACGTGGTCCTCGGATGCACTTGCTGTTATTATTATCCGCCTATCATCTCTAATTTATAAAGTTTGCCGACTGATCCAAAACCAAACACACTCTGTCCGCCTAATATGTCTTGAACCTCCATGTTGCAGGAATGATTTGATAATAGTGTGATCAATAGGCTGACATCCGACTCCAGCGTCCTGTGACAGATCGATAGATGCGACAGCGGCCGAATCAGATAATGTTAGGCTACTTCCCTGCAAAATCCGACAGTAAACCGGTGCATCTGATGCTCCAGCTTTTTACACCCCCCGATAAAATGACCCCCTGGATGTGAGAGGGGGAAAAAAAAGCAAATCACAACAGTGCTTGCTCTGCTGAGAGACCTTTCGGAAAGTCCCTGCAAGCTCCACAGCAGGACATGAAGAAGTTGCGTAGCTACTACAGTGTTGTTTGCAGAAATAAAAAAATGAAAAACTGCAAAAAAGCGTGAGAAAAAAAAATCACAAGCAAGCGCAAAAAAAAAAGAGGCAAACTGGACAGTGTGCTGCCGCTGCGATGAGCTCCAGACTTCCAGTGAAGAAGCGCATGAAGAGCCCCGTGCAGCCCCGCTGACTGGAGCCCATCAGACAGCGGAGAACAACGTAAACACTGACCACGTTTGGCTGGAACTGTACTCACCAACGCTACTGGCGATGTAAAGGCCGCTGGTGTGCAGCAGAAAGGCCGGTAGAATAATTAGGACAGTAAATCCTGGCGAGAGACCCATGGCAGCTCCGAACTGCGCAGGTGAGAGAGTGGGACTCCGGGCTCCAGTGTGGTGAAGTTCCCCGCCTGGCGCGACCAGCCACGCCACGACAGCAACAGCACAGCAGCCCGCAACTAGACTGCCAAGTGCACCGGGAGAGACGGAGCTCTCCTCCCCTCTCTCTCTCCTCCTCCTCTCCGCCGAGGTCTCTCACTCACTCACTCTCTCTCTCCCTCTCAACTCTTCCCCTCTCTTTCCTCTCTCAACTCCTCTCTCGCATTGTGCGCGCGCTCCCCCCCCTCTTACTCACACTCTCTGCTCTCACAACTCCACACACACACAAACACACGCGCGCACACGCACACACACACACACGCCGGATACACACTCCGGGCACCGGCCTCCCACCCGCCTCCCCCGTGTGTCCCCCGCTGTGTGAGATGTGAGGACATTTTCTAGGGAGCGCTGCGGACTCGCTGACTGACCGACTGACAGCCTCATAGACAAGCAGCAAAATGCGATGGGAATGAACGAGCCGCCTGCTCCGGTGTGAGAAGTCATTTGTGTAACTCTTTTCTGGGGGTCACAGCCGCTGTTCAGCTCTGCGCTCCGCCGGTCCCTGATCTGCTGCAAGCCTTTTCATAAACTTTGAATATTCCATCAAGCGTCCTGGGTTAGGGGGAGCAGCAGCGCCCCGTGTGGCTCACTGGAGGAAAAGCACCGAGTTTTGCAAGGCCCAAGGGTCCAATTTACAGACTGGGGAGGGAGGGGGGGTTTACTAGCCCTAACCTGCATTGCCCTCATTTAGCACATCATTTACCTCTCTTGACCACTAATCTTAAACTGTTACAATCACTGTTGAGCAGCATGAGGTGAACAGCTGATAGGAGCAAAAGCACTTCCTCTGTCAGAAACAGTTTCATTTTTACGTTTCATTCTTTTTTGTTTTTTTGTGCTATGCCTTCTTATGTCTTTCAATTCTTTCAAGTTAAGTCAGTTAATGTTGCTATAACACACACACACAAACACACTCACATAGTGTGGATCCGCCGAATCGAACAAATTACACGAATTCGCAACATTTCTGCATAAACACACACAAAAAAAATGTTTGTGGTTTACTTATTCCTTCAACACACTAGGAAGCATGCTACTTGTAATTGACTGTACATATACACAAAGTGCCCACAGCCTGTATCAAGTATTCTTGCAAAATATCTGTGCATGGTATCGAAAGAAATTGCTGCAAATTCATTTTCAACAATTTACAATCTCCTTAATACATTTTGTTTGTGATTTAGTTACTCCCTTAACATACCAGGCAGTATTTTAATTGTAATTAACTGTACATGTCTACAAAATGCCCCTAGGCAGTAACAAATATTCTTACAAAAGATCTATGTGGGGCAACTGAAGAACTGTTGCATTTGTATCTTCTACAAATTGCAATAATTTCCCACAATTTAGCATCACCTTGATACATTCAGTTTGTGATTTAGTTATTCCTTTAGCATACAAGGAAGGATGTTAATTGTAGCTGATTATACATATCTACAAAATGCCCACAGGCAGTATTAAATATGAGATATCTGTGCATGGTAACGAAAGAATTGTTGCAGTTAAATCTCATACGAAATATATTCATTTTAACAATTTACCATCACCTTGATTTCGTTTGTGACTTAATTATCCCCTTAACATACCAGGCAGTGTTTTAATTGTACACAATTGTAGATATCTACAAAATGCCCATAGGCAGTAGTAAATATTATAAATAGTAGTTGTAGTAATAGCTGCTACAAATTACATACACTTTTAACAATTTACCATCAGCTTAGTACATTTCATTTGTGCTTTAGCATTTTTTGTTCAAGATACCACATACTATGTCAACTGTTCGTAATTATAAGTATCTGCAAAATGCTTATATCCAGTATTGAACATTTCTATAAAATATCTGTGCCTTGTGCCATGATCTAGTGATCAGTCCTCTTAAACTGTTATCACGGATGAGCAGCATACGGTAAACAACTGATAGAAGCAAAAAAACAAGTCTATTTTCAGAAACTCTTTCATTTTTTGTTCATTATATTCATTCCTAACCTTTTCTTTTATAAATAACACAATAAGAGGAGGGAGAAAGTTTGAAACAACTGGCAAATAAATAAATATTTAAGGTAGGCAATATCAAAATCACCTATTGAGAGGATTCTGTTGAGACAAAATTAGCTCTTGTCAACTTCAAAAAAGCTGTGACTTCATTTACAGTCTTTGGTTTCTATTGATTATCACTTTTGTTCTCAGATTTTCAAACCAACACAATGCAATAATACGATTCACAATGAGCATGTCAGCAACATCGTAAGAGTCATTCAGAGAGCAATCTTCTTATTTCTATGAAGTCTTTCACCTTAAATCTGTTTGACCTTGTTGCTATACAGTTTGCAATGTAAAATCTATCTGCCATATCACTTACACATGAATTTACAACAATTTAGCACAACTTTAACACACTTAGACAACTCCTCTGCAACATCATAGTGCATCAGTGGTAAAGTTTACTGACTGAGGAGAACAAGACCATCCTGACCCCAGTAAGAGTGCCACCCTTAGTTATTCATGGTGAAGAATCATGGAGGGGTACTGTTCCTGCTTAGTACATAATTAAGGAGAGACACTACATGCAAACATAACCTATTTCATGTCTTGGTCAGTTTGGGGATTTCTATCAACAACGGAAATGAAGCGTGTAAAATACACCTTTAGGTTTGTGATTTTATTTATTTATTTATTCAACCCTCTGTCTAATAGACATTTATGCAAATGAATGCACAGTAAAACAATTCACAATTCCTCATTTGCATGAAATTTCTGAAAACTTGTAGTCAAAAAAATGGTAACTGGGTTATTTCCATGATACCTATATGATTTAAAAAATATATATCTGATTCATCTGTGGTATCTGCCCCTAAAGGAATTTATATTTGCTTTTTGCAACACAGCAACACAAATAGAAAAAACTTATTTTAAAGACACAATGAAAAATGAAACGATCATTCAACATTGCTCTTGCAATTAAGTTTTACTCCTGTGTGGTGTTCTGTAGGTTTTACTTAACTCATAAATCTATTGATTGTTGTAGTATTTTAACACGTTATTTCTTAATCACTAAATTGATTATGTAATTTTCAATAATGTGGAAAAATAATAGTGGAAAAGGG